GTACCTGACGAAGTAGCTTAACACATCAGCAAAAGCTGGCATGTGTCAAAGGGGAACTAGACAAATACAAACTGCAGTGGAAGACTTCACACACCTCTCTCCATAACTGATAATTCAAGCCAATGTGAAATCACAGGTGCAGGAGCCACCTGTTTGTGCAGCTTATCTGTGCCCTCTGGATCTGCCCTAGGTGATCCTGGATGTACAACTTCCATTTTATTATGAATTATGTCTGAGATTGCCCAACCTTATAACTTGTTGGGTATGACAGTACCTAACTCATAAGATGTTTCGCCCACATGGTCACTGGGTGGTAAGTCACTTGGTCTCCACCAGGGCTCAGTACCATGTCAGGTGCTACATTTCGATGGCTTATAGTTTTCTGTTGCAGATAGTGAGGGTTTGCTTCAGAAATCCAGGGGTATATGCTGCACCTCTTTAAATGACACCTATCAGAGACTCCACATGACATCTTTATCTAAGTCTATATAGTAGTACTATTTATCCTAGTACTACTTGATTTTATGGGTCATATGGTCCAAATGACAGGACTGCTTTTATTTCAACCTAAATCTGCTTCAGAGACCTTTCTAGTGCTGGGACACTCTCAAATCTAGCAGCCTACCATTTCGCCAATAAAAGGGTCAAACAGTATTCCCTAGAGCAGAATATAATGCCTCCAACACCCAAAGAGGCCTTATAAGTATTGTACTTCTTTGTTAGTGGTAAGTGGGGGTACAAATATCTACAATTTACTTTGAAATATATGTCCTGAATATAAGACTCCTAAAAAATTTCATCAATGTGGCAGCTTCTAAATCTTTGTTTTATGGGCTGACCCTGTGGCTCACTCGGGAGAGTGTGGCACTGGGAGCGCAGTGGCACTGGGGGTGTGGAGGCCGCGGGTTCGGATCCTATATAGGGATGGCTGGTGCGCTCACTGGCTGAGCGTGGTGCAGACGACTCCAAGCCAAGGGTTACGATCCCCTTACCGGTCACAAAAAAAAAAATTTAAATCTTTGTTTTATGTTTGTTATTTCCCACCAAAGTAAAAAGTTTTTGCTGGGTTTTTTGCTTATCAAATCTATGTAATATAATGTTATACTTATAGCAGACCAATATTATTTTTTGTGAAATATACAGCAAGTTCATGACCCTTTGGACTATGCTGTGAAGAAACAGGCAAACAAACATAATCTTGGTTAAGACAGTAGAGTCTATAGTGTTGTCTGTCCCATGTGAAAGTAAACTACTGCTGATTCTCCTTTTTAATAGGCATTAAAAACAATGTATTTGCCTGTTTGATAGCTGCATACAATAATCCAGAGGTTGTGGTCATCTGCTCTAGTAAAGATCCAGCACAGCACAGCACTTGGAGCTACTGCTCAAGTCTTTAGTAGTCTACTGTCATTCATTATGATCCATCCAGGTTTCACAGGGGTCAGATTAATGAATAAAATGGGGATATGACGGATATATGCTGCAACATCTAAATCTTTTAGAGCAGAACTAATCTCTGTTGTTCACTCTGAGAAGAAATACTGTTTTTTATTTACTCTCTTGGCTGGTGGTGGTGATAGTCAAACAGTTTCAAAGACCTCCACTAGGCTCTTCCTTCTATAGTAGATCTTACTTTTTGGATCAAGGAACCAGTATGAGGAGCTGACATTTTTTGCATTGCAATATGAAATTCCCTTATGTACTTTTAAAAATGAAAGTATAATTTGCACACAATAAATTCATCCTTCTAAAGTACACAATTCAATAAATTTTGACAAATGCATCAAATAACCATTACCAGAATCAGGATATAGCACATTTCTACTATCCAAAAAAATCTCTCATACCCCTTGCGTTCAATTTCCTAAACATAACTCGCCCCTACATCCACCTGCTGCTTTCTATCCCTGTTATTTTGTCATCTCTGGTATTTCATGTAAATGGAATCATAGAATATATAGTCTTTTATGTTTGGCTTCTTTCACTTAGCATAATACTTTTGAAATTGATCTTGTTGTTTCATATATCAGTAGTTAATTCTTCTCTATTGTTGAGTCATATTCGGTTGGATAGCTTTACCACAATTTGTTATCCATTCAGCAGTTGACAAATGTTTATAGCATGTTTGTAGGTTTAAACATTTATAGGTTGCACGTTTATAGGCTGTTTCCAGTTTTTAGTTATTACATATTAAGCTGCTATAAACATTCACACACAAGTGTTTGTATGAATGTATGTTTGAATTCCTCTTGGGAAAATATCCAGGAGTAGAATTTCTGGGTTGTGGAATAAGTGTACAATTTATTTATCATCAATTTTTTTCCAAAAGTGGCTGTGTCATGTTATAGTCCACCAGCCATGTATGAGAATTCCAGTTGCTCAACATCTTTGCAGCACTTTCTAATTCTAATTATTCTAGTGGCTGTGTAGTGGCATATTATTGTTGTTTCGTTTTGCATATCTCCGATAACTACTGATGTTGAACAGCTTTTCATATGCTTATTAGAAATTAGTGCATCTTTTCAGGTGAAGTGTTTGTTCAAATAATTTGCCAATCTTATTATTGAGTTGTAAGAGTTCGTTATAAATAATGGATGTGTTCTCTTTATTCTTTCATTTTCATTTTATTTTTTTCTATGTACATGTTAATGGGGTACAATTGTTGTTTCAATACATGCATATATTGTGTAGTGATCCAATCAGAATAGTTAGCATATCTGTCACCTAAACATTTATCATTATTTTGTGGTTATAACATTCAGGATCCTCTTTTCTGGCTGTCTTGAAATATATGACATTATGAGCTGTTGCCACACTAGAGCACCAGAATTTATTCTTCCTCTCTAACTGTAGCTTTGTAACTTTGTACCAGTCTACCAACCTTTTCTTGGCCCTCTCCCCCACTTTCCCTGCCTCTGGTAATCACTATTCTACTCTCTATTTCTCTTTTTTCTTCTTAATTTACTTTTCTTAGTTGATTCATGATAATTGTATTTATTTATGGAGTACAATATGATTAGGTATATTCATGCTGTGTGCAATGATCATATCACGGTGCTTAGTATGGATATGTGTTCTTTACTAGATATGTTTTACACATATTTTCTTATAATCTGTGGCTTGTCTTTTTATTTTAGTGGTAGTATCATTGAAATAACAGAAGTTATCGATTTTTAAGAAGTTAATTTTAACAATTTTTTTTATGCGTCATGCATTTAGTGTCCTATGAAATCTTTGCCTAATCCAGCATTCAGGGATTTTCTTCTATGTTTCATTCTAGAAGTGTTATAGGTTTAGCTCTTATGCATTATGAATTAGTTTGTCTGTGTGGTGTAAGAATCTAGGTCCTATTTTTGATACTTGGATATCCAATTGTTCCAGAATCTTTTGTTTGAAAGGTTCTCCTTTCCCCATTGATTATGTTGCCACTTTGGCCAAAATAAGTTGACCACATATTTGTACGTCTACTTCTGATATCTCTGTTCTTTTGCATTTAGTTAAATATATATCCTTAGGCCAATGCCACATTCTCTTGATTATTGTAATTCATAATAATCCTTCAAGTAAGGCAGTGATAAGAGTTTGGATATGTTGTCCTCTCCAATACTCATGTGAAAATCTGATTCCCAATGTAGCAGTGTTGGAAACTGTTTGAGTCATTGGGGCAGATCCCTCATGAATGGATTAATGCTCTCCTTGGGGCGGCGGGTGGGGGGGGGATAGTGTGTGAGTTCTCACTCTACTAGTTCTGTGAGAACTAGTCATTTAAAAGACCCTGGCACCTCCCCTCTCTCTCTCTCTTACTTCTTCTTGCCATGTGATCTGCTTGTACCCGCCGGCTGCCTGCCGCTTTCCTCCATGAGTAGAAGCAGCCTGAGGCCCATGCCAGATGCAGCTGTCCTAGAATCGTAAGCCAAATAATCCTCTGTTCTTTATAAATGACCCAATCTCAAGTATTCTGTTATAGCAACAAAAAAATGGACTAAAACAGGTAGTATAGGTCTTGCAACTGGGTTCTTCTGTTTAAAATGGTTTTGGAACTAGTAATTAGTCTTTAATCAAATTAGTATGTATAACCCTGGTGTCCTGACTCATATCAAACTATGGTAAGAGAAGTCTGCTCTTTGTAGAGTGGAGAAAAGATACAGAGCTCTTGGCATAATGATCCATAAAGAAATAAAAGGCTTAGAGGTCTGAGAAATGAAACATACCTTTTTACTGCTTTCATAGATGTTTTACCCAAATGCTAATAAATGAAAGACTAGATTTCCCTCCCCAACCCTACTTCTTGGATCCAAAGAAACCTTTTCAATTTTCACTCCAAGCACCAGACAAAGGAAAACCATATGGAATAAAACAAATAGCCCGTGGCAGAGAAGAAAGGCCAAAAAAATCAAGTGCCTGAGTAGAAGACAAAAGAATTATGAAGTCAGGGACAAGAGAAAGAAAGGCAGTAATCAGAGTTCCTTTTGCAAATCCAAGGTGAACTCTCTATGGATTCACAAGCTGTGTCACATCATTGTCTGGACTCAAGTGTGGGACTCAGAGGTTCTTTGGCTAATAGTACGACATTCTCATTTACAGATTGGACCATATTTCTCTTCTGAACTTTTATAACAAAGAGATTGTATGTTTAAAGGACAAAAAAAAATGTGCTAGAACTACTTCTGTTTCTAAAACAGCATTAATGCAATGTGAGCATAATTTAAAAAAAATAAAACTTTGATGGGATATCTGGAAATTTTACAATAAATATTTAAGTTTTATCTAAATGTTTTTAGGTCAGGCTTTGCACTCTTTAGGAACTAAAAAATATATATACTGTTACCTTAATAATTAAATGATCAATAACAGTTTTGATTTATTTATTTTTAATGCCATATTTGGAACACGTGTACACCAAATTTAGAATGAGTCATGTGAATATTTACCAATTAAGTAAGGATAACCAAAATCATTGAATCTGATTAGTTTTTAATGGTTCAATTTTTAATGACAGTCATTGTTTTCCTACAGGATAACTAGGCATAATAGGTAGAGAGTTTACATAAATAACCCATAATTAGTCCACTTCAATACAAACCAAATAATTAGTCCCTCTCTCTTCACTTTGTTAACTTTCCTGTGTCGTATTGAAAATTTTTCCTAATACCACATACTGTTTCGTCTTTGTCTTTCTTATGCATGCTTCATTGACACATATAAAATTAAATGTCTGTATCTTGAAGGTCTCAGCAGCCTGAGTTCTTGGGTTCCCAAATCTTAAAGCTTTACCAGTAAAACATCCTTAGAGTTCTTGAGCTTCTCTTTGTATTATCTAGCCGGAAAAATAAGACCTGACAAACTGGAGGCAGAAACATTTTGGCCATGAAGCTGTAACGGGACTTTGAGAATCTCAGATACTGAAGGGGAAGAGACAGGGTGCCATGACGGTGGCCTCTGGAGCCAGGACATTTGGGAGTCAGAGAAAAATTGAAGAGAGAGGGATTGAATATAAGCTCTGTTGTTCTTCCTGACCCAGCTCTTGGGGGTCAGCCTTGGGAACAGTAAAATGTCACAGGCTTGCAGTTGGTTCACTCCCTCATCTCCTAACTACACAAAAAATCCCTTTTTACAAGAAAAAGTCTTTATCCCACTAGTGAAAATAAGAGACTTAAAAGTATAAATATTTGAGATAGCTAGATGGGTCTAAATGTATAACAATCAATCAATCAGTAAGTCTCCTTAAACTTTCTTCTTTTGTTTAGAGAAACCAGTTACAAAAGAGGCATAAGGGGAAAGTTGGGCAGGGTTGGGGCAAGTCTCAGACAGGAAAAGGGAACAGAAAGAAGAGGCCTGAAACCTGAGGAGCCAGGAAAATGCTTCAGGACTTGAGGGTGCTTTAGAGTACCAAGTGCTGTACTGCTCACGTTTCATTTTGTTCTCTCAGTGACTCAGAGAAGGAGAGGAAAATGGAAGTTTGAAAAGATTGACTCGCTAGTCATCACATAAACAGTGACTGGCAGGGCTATAAGAAGCTGAATATAGGCATCTATCTGCCTGTAAGCCTCATTCACCTGTCACTAGGCCACTTCTCATCTTTGACTTTATGATTATGGCATAGATCTCATTTTCAAGAGACTGTATCATCCAACTTCAACAGTTCACTAAAAATTACATTTTAGTGTTCCACCATGAACTTAAATATTCAAGGAAAAAGATACAGTTTTAAAGGTATTTTCTCATCCAATTTAGCAACACATAGAAAGTCACATTACACTGACTGCCTGGGGAAAAGCTGCTAGATAACAACTTTAATTTCTGCACAGATTTTAAAAAATCCACTTTAATAATCTACAAGGATGGTTTACTAATTTTTCAAAACTGTATTTTCATATCATTTGAACAGAAAAATGATGTTTCCTTCTTGTCATCATTTTAAGAATTAAAAAAGGCTTTCACCTTTGTTCAAAATAATTTTTTCTTCAGATTACAATCTGCTGTTACAATTAATGCCCACTGCCTACAGCACAATTCCCAGAAAGTTCAGAAGTAAAGAGGGCAAAGTGTAGTTTGAGATTTTTTTTCTCCTCTGGCTGTTCACACAGTTTGACTTCAATGTTGCCATCACTGAATGCTTCTCCTTTGGTCTCCTCTACTGGGTTCTCTCTTCTGGAAAACTTTGCTTTCTTCTCCATCATCGTAATTCCTGAATTTCCATGCCTTTGTGCTGAAGACAGGGCTTCTCGTACTATGCAATAACAAACTGCAGACAAAACATTTTTTTTGAAGTTTTCATTCATAAATGCATAGACAATGGGATTACAGATGGAGTTGGAAAATCCAATTATTTGCACTATAGCAAAAATCATCTTGATTGTGACATCATCATATTCCTTTTCAATATTACCTGAAATAAAGTAATACTTCAGAATGCGTATTTGTTTTAATGAGAATAAAACAATGGTTTATCATCTGTCTTTGCCAAAGACTTATATTCGTACAAGTAGTTAAATGTGTGAAAAGTTCTCAAGACCATTTTGGGAGAGACACCTGATGTCTGAATAAAAATAACCTTTGTGATGAGTCTTCATTCTTAGTGAATCTAGGCTTAAAAGCATAGGCTGGTGTCCAGCACATATTATTAAGGGGGTCCATAGCTTTTCAATTTGATGACTCCAAGTTTCATGTTAACTGGCAGCAACAGTTAACCTTCAAATGTTCATTTGAATTACAAAATAAAATCATACTGAGAACCATGTTATGTCCTGGGTTACCAGGGAGAATATACTAAGGGTCTGACTGAAATCGTAGGTATTATTAAATTCATGTGGTTCAAGTGAGGGTTCTAAATAGGGAACACTCATACGATGTCACGCCTCTCCCAATGTTTAAATAGCTCAAGGAGAACAGAAGGAGTAACATGGGAGAAGAATAACAAAAGCTTTTCTTTATCTTCTGTAATTATTAAAGATTTAATCATAGTCATACATAATTATCTACCACATAATGATCTGGGGATCTTAAAAACATGAAAGAAGTGTATTGAATGTTTGATTACCCAGGTGAATAGCAGCAAATTTTAATGATTCATTGTCCATTATAAAACGACTGTCAAATGAGAATGACAAGCACTCACTGTATTCAATCATCATATGAAAGACATGGAAAGGTGCCCAGCACACAGCAAAGAGAGCCACCACTGTCACCATCATAATGACAGCTCGCTTCTTCTTCCTAGATCCACAAGGAAACAATGTATTGGTTAACTTCTTCTTGGTAAATGTGTCAAATTGTTAGCAAATCTAGTAAATAAAGTTTGAGCCTCACCCACTCAACCACAGTTTTTCAAATGAGTTCATGGTAGGTTGGTTGTAGGCTGATTAGCATCTTTTCCCATTGATACTACCCTCATCCTTAAATTTCTCATATCATAAATATCCTTAGGATGTTTGCTCACTATGGGTCTGGCACTCTGTAAACTGCTTGGCATGGATTATGTCATTAATGTTCCCAACAAGCCATTTGACAAATGCAGAAACTGAGGCACAGAGAAGGTTAAGTAATTTGCAAAGTCAGATGACTAGTAAGAAATGTATTTTGGATTTGAATTTAGGCAGTCTAACTTCAGTGACTAAGCTCGTATTCTATATTGAACATCATTCCTGTGATAGTAAAATATAAATATTTATGAAATATGGGGAGCCTCAAGGATAGAATTAAAATGCAATACTTTATTACATAGCTAAATAATGTGATTAACATTACTTCTGTGAAGGAGATTTACAACTTCAAGAAGCCTACACGTTTGCATGGCGCTTTAAGTTTATAAAACTCATACTCATTATCTCTTATTTCAGCCTGGTAGCTCTGTGTTCCCAGGAAGTGGGAGAGCTAATTCAGCAGGAAGGCCACGGTGCTGAAGAGTCGGCGGCCCCTGTACCCTGGAGAGGGAGGATTTCTTTACATAAACTGGGCACTAGAGGTCACTGCACACTTGAAAAAATGATAAAATCTCACCAACTCGCTAGACTTCTCCATATAGGGTTTTGTTTTTGTTTTAATACTCGTTCGCTGTAGATTATAAAATAAATCATATGGACTACAAGTACCATAGCAGTAAATTGTGTTTTAAACTTGCTATTAATGAATAAGATCAGAAAACAACGCCCTTGGGTAAAAATAAAACATGTCGATAATAATGATTTAAAACAAATAGCATGCTCTGGTTTCCAGAGGATTTTCATAATATGATCTCATGTATTTTATGTGGCATGACCGTTGGGTGGGAGGAGGAAGGATGATGTCATTACGGTCCCTTGTACATGTGAGGAAAACTGGAGCCTTGGGAACGAGACTGATCTATATGTTGTGGCTGGTAAGTGACAGAGGGAAGAGCGTGACCACAGGACCACAGGGTCCTCCAACAAGCTGATAGCTCTTCCTGCCATGTCATACTTACACATAGATAAAAATGTAACCACGTTCTAAACTCCAAGTAAGTGTTTATCTCTAGCTGTAACTTCTTTTATTTGGGAGCTGTGATCTTGTTCTTCCTTTCTGCCACATTTAAACCTAAAGAGTTTAAAGTAAGCCCAAGCCTTAAATGTGAATTACAAATGATGCTTTGACTAAATTACAAGAGGTTCTGAGATCCTGGCAAATGTCCCTTTCAGCACAACCAATTAAAAATATCTTAAACAGAGGTGAATATTTCCTTAAGCAGACCTGGCTATTTTGGACATTTCTTTTCCGTGAATAGTTCGAAGCACAGAACCATCCCCCACTCTCTTCTTTATCCAAAGTTCGTAACCAATTTTACTGTACAGGATCAGCATCACCATGAGAGGCAGGAGGAAGAGGAAGACGAGGATGAAGGTGCTGTAGATCTTCTGGTGCGCGGGGCTGGTCCACTCTTCCAAGCAGCAAACGTGTTCTTTTTCATACAGGAAGTCATACTTAATCTTTATAATAAGAATAATTCGGTTAAAAGAACCAGTAGTCAGCATCGAAAGAACAGAAAGCAGTCAGGTACATATTATTGTAATGTGGCATTTTTTAAGCCCTTTCAAATTTGCCACTGGTACATATTTCACATGAGATACAATATTAATTGTTCTTTTGTTGTGAAGTGTGGCTTTTCTACTTAACTGTTTAAGTTCTTAAGTTTTATATATTTTTTTTCGATTTTAAATAGAACTGAGGTCCATAGCCTGTTTACTTTCTCTTTTTTAATCACTCTCAACTTTTCTTTCCACTAGTCACAAGTTTCAACTTGCTAAAAGAGCACTACAATTACCAAAGTGTATATTTAAAAGTATTTCACATTGGATGCCAGCTAGTTTAATGTTAAATTATTTTGTTACTTTAGTTGTCGAAGAGACACCTTGACAAGGCATCAGACTTCTTCCATTTGAAAAGTACTGAAAGCCCAGATTTTGCTACTGCTCTTTCATACTGCAATGATAAGTTTGCTTAGAAAGATAATAAAAAGGTAACTGGTAGATTTTAAATTCTAAGATGAGGGCTGGATGATTAGGTCGGTTGGTTAGAACACAGTGTTGTAACTCCGAGGTCATGGGTTCAGATCCCCATACCAGCCAGCTGTCAAACAAATAAAAATAAAAAATAAATTTAAATTCTAAGATGAGGGCTGGATGATTAGGTCGGTTGGTTAGAACACAGTGTTGTAACTCTGAGGTCATGGGTTCAGATCCCCATACCAGCCAGCTGTCAAACAAATAAAAATAAAAAATAAATAAATTCTGAGATGAATGAGAAATTGAGATCCAAACTGTTGCTAATCCACAAATATTCAGATTGTATTTGTTTGCTGATTTATTCTATTTTTGACTTATCACTTTGCTGATTTGTTCATAGTATTTCTGACAGACTCGTCTTTTATGAGTTCAAAATATTATTAATAACAATATTAATAATAATAGAAAGTACTTAAAAGGGCTTATTTCAAGGACAAACTAAACTATGCATATTTTAAAGTATATTCAAAAGTCACGTCTATGGGTAATAGAAATAAAAATTAGAGAATTTATCAAAACTATTGTCATTTTAGTCACTCGGGAGCTTTCCAGATGAATACATAGGTCTTAGACATATATTTCTGTGTATACTCCCAGCAAATGTTATCACCAATCTTTAATCTCAAATGAGATGGGGAAAAGGAGCTTTTTGTTTACTTGCCAAGGAAAAGAAAATTCACGTTCTGATCTAGTCATTATATACAAATATAAGTAAGAATAATAACACTTATTGAAAAATAATTTTAAGATCCTCAGATTGTATTTGTTTGCTGATTTATTCTATTTTTGACTTATCACTTTGCTGATTTGTTCAGAGTATTTCTGACAGACTCGTCTTTTATGAGTTCAAAATATTATTAATAACCATATTAATAATAATAGAAAGTGCTTAAAGGCTTATTTCAAGGACAAACTAAACTATGCATATTTTAAAGTATATTCAAAAGTCACTTCTATGGGTAATAGAAATAAAAATTAGAGAATTTATCAAAACTATTGTCATTTTAGTCACTCGGGAGCTTTCCAGATGAATACATAGGTCTTAGACATATTTCGGTGTATACTCCCAGCAAATGTTATCACCAATCTTTAATCTCAAATGAGTTGGGGAAAAGAAGCTTTTTGTTTACTTGCCAAGGAAAAGAAAATTCATGTTCTGATCTAGTCATTATATACAAATATAAGTAAGAATAATAACACTTATTGAAAAATAATTTTAAGATCCAAACTCCCTGGGAAAAGGATGTAAAAATAAAATTCCTTCTGACTCCATATAGGCAGAGCCTATGAGGACCAATGACCATGGGGGCCATGTATTGACATATCCTAAAGCACATGCTAGACTGGTAGTCTCCAAACGGGTTCACGTAGCCCTAAGGACAAGCCAAGACTTTCTAAGGGCATGCTCAGATGGTTTTATGAAAACCAATTTTAGATCTTCTATTTCCAAATATACACTTCTCTAAACTTCCACTGCTCAATTAAGCGCCTGAGGTGGAGGTGCCATGCTGGGTCTACACTCCCACCTCCTCTTTCATCTCACCCTTCTCCCAACTTAGAAAACTCACATCTCTCACCCAATCCAAATCTTACCACGGGGCACCAAAGAAACAGACAATTCAAATGACTGGTGTCAGTGAAGCCACCTTGGTCAAGGCATCATATATTCATGGTAGGGCTTTGTGCTTTTCTCTGCCTTAAATGTATCAGGGCAAAGCCTGGCATTAGAAAAAAAAGCATTTTGACAGGTGTTGAGATGCTGCGAATTCATATTTTTCATACAGTGAGGGGGAAGAAGTGATGACAATTGTAATTTGACCACCTTGTTGCTTTCATCCCCTGAAAATTGTCAAATATTTCACTCTGGAGAGAGAGAGCAAAGTGAAGAGGGCATGGGTGAGAAATGCCAAAGATGCTGGTGCTCAGTGTCACCGAGCTGAGAATCGCGGGTGCCCTGCAAGCTCACCGGCTCTCTAGTAGAATTCAGGAGTGAGGTAGTGGCTACGGGATGCATATTCATACATTTATTTGACTTGAAAAATGAAATCAGACCTTTTCTTGACAAGAAGCAAATCTGATTTGGCTGATCTGTTTGACAGTGAGAACTGTCTTTGTCAATCAGATTATATGCATTTTCTACAACCTAAGTGAGTTATTTATTTAAAATATATCTAGAGTACATGACAAAATAACTTTATTTTTTAAAAACGGATAAATCTGTTTGTTTTCCCTGGACCAGAAATGGACCTCACGCTTGGGAAGTGGATTGGGTCATTTATAAAAGGGCTGCAGCTGCATGAATTTCCTGCTGGAGAGAAGGGCAGTGTCAGCAGGAAGGAGCTAGCTGGGTAAGGTGAGTGTGGAGGCTGCGAGGTCTTCATGAGCAGCTGGCTGGAGAGTGCAGCAGCAGTTGGAAGCCTCAGTGGCACTGTCTTTGAGAAACCACTGGAGTAGAGACTCAGTCATGGGCAACGGCCATAACTAGAGGGCACCAATTCCACAGGACATCTGTCCCCTCCTCTCCCCATTCTATCAGCTCCTGAGGAGGGAGCAGTGGCCAATTGAAGGGGGGTGAGAGCAGAAAGAGAAACATGAGTCCACAAAATAGAACAAGTGACCATAACCCCTGTCACATTTCTAGGCTCCCAAATGATTCAAGCTGGGGGAAGGGAGAAGTTTTAAACTGATAGAGAGTGTGGATTTTTATGTGATTGTGGCACTGGACTGGACATATTAATAACAGAACTAACACTGTCCTTGTGACTGAAAGTGGCTGGGAAATTTTATTTTCAAGATAACTAGAAGAGTTATAGGATCTATTTAAGGTTTCACCCATGACATTTCATCATGAGGACTGGGAAATTCTTTGATGGTTTTCATAGGCAGCAAGGGATAGAATAAAGTTGTTTTCTGCTCTCACCTATGGAATTGAGCAAACCAGGCTACTCTTTAAATGTCCTCTTACCTTAGGACTCATTTGATATTCTTGCCGATGGACATAGCCTGCCCAGTAAAATTTCACATTTGCCTATCTCTATTTAAAAAGGTACAAAGGGATTTGTTGTTTAAAAAATTATCTCAGGGGGTATGTGAGCCACTGTCTTTGAAGAGTGTTAGACCACCTAACGCAAGACATATTAATGTACGCCCCAATGAACAGGGTGGGGCGCCTAAAACCAACACAGAGCTCACTGTGAACCCTCACACAGGGCTGGGCCTGTCTGACAAAGGTGTGAAGAAAGGAGAGAGGTTGGATAAGATGGTCCCCTGACATGTTTCCAATTTGAATTTCAATTTGTTGATGAATAGGAGAATCAACTGATAAGTAGACAATCTATTACAAATTTTTTATGTGACTTAAAAGAAAAATCTAGAGCAACCATTAAACCCTTAAAATGTAACAAGACATTAGGGACCAACACAAAAAGCATGCTCAGCTTGCAGGAAAATGTAGAAAGTGACCTTGGTGCTTTTAAAAAATTCTATTTTAAGCATTAAAGTTTTAACAATATAATGTCAAGAAGAGCTAGATAAAAGAGGGAAAAAATCTTAAAACAAATTATTTTATTCAACTTGAAAGACCTCCAGTGAAATAACTGAGGTCATATAAATTTGCTGCAATGCTCTTGAAGGAAGAAAACCAATTAAATTAAGAGTGGGAAAATATTTCAAATGTGATTATTAATCCCAGCCCCAAGTGTACCTCAAGCTGCTGCACATGCCACATGGGTGATCCTATGATGACTGCCACAAGCCAGACCACACCTGTAAAAATGTTAGAATCATCAGAATACGATTCCATTAAGTAAAATACTTCCATGTGTAAATTCTCCAGTCATCAAGTCTCCCTAAATTCAGGGTGCCCTTTCACCTCTGCCCTAGAGCACAGCAAGTGTCTCCTCACAGGTCCTCACTTCCATTCTCACCAGCTTCAACACAGCTGCTGGAATATCCTCCTGAGACAAGTTTTCTATGTTTAAAACTCTTTAATAGTGCGCCGTTGCCTATCAGATGAAATCCACTCTCCTTAGCATGGCCCAAGAGGTTCTCTACAATCTCACCTGCCTCTCTCTCTCCTCTTTCGTTTCAGCCCACAGCCTTCACATCCTCGTCCTTTGCTGAGGAACTTGCAGGTTGGTTTCAGTCCCCATGCCCCAGAGTGCATTGTGCTGCCCATGCCTTCATGCCTTTTTTCCTGGATCTGCCACCCTGTCCCCACTGTCTACCTGTGGGCTCATTTTCCAGGACTTGACTCAAAAGTCACCTTCTCTAGGGAAGCTTTGAAGGCCACCAGCACTTCACAATAAGCCGACCACTGAGTCCTTGTCATCTCCGCGTGTCCTCTGCTGCAGCACCTTTGTTGCCCTTACTCATTTCTTCTCGACTTCTGAATGTCGCAAGGGTGGGGACAATGCCATCTTTGTTTCCTCAAATAAGATTTCAAGGAAAATGCCTGACCCTCAGTAGGGGCCGATCCATGTTTGCTGAATGGATGAATAACTTTTAAACATGACAGATCACCCTCTATCATTTCTTCTTAAAACTGAAAATACATTTATCATAAGCACAAACTCCTATAACTTCAGAAACCAGGGTGCGCTTTCCAAATTCTCCATCCTTTACAAGTCTGTTGAGAGGAGTTGCTTAAATGGTGTGTCCTTAGTGAAGAAAAACAGAGATTAACTACTGAGGACCATCTCAAACTATGGATCTTAACAGACTAGGGAGAGGACAGGACGAAGAGCCCCCAACTTTGATTTTAGGAATGATTTCCCAGTTGAAACTCTGCTTGTTCTTTCTACATTGGGTGAACCATTAAGGAAAAAAGTATATTGCTTTAGTCTCAGTTAAAGGAACTGAGACTCAGTTAAGCCATATTTGGGATATATCATAAAGAAACACATGAATGGGCTCTTATTATAGAAAGTCATCATGATCCAGTGATCCAAGATAGTTCTAGGGCTCAAGTCTATCTGTCCACCTGTCTGTCTGTCTCTCTCCACATCACCACACACATCTATTCTATTCCAATCACATATGTCCATTCATTTTTCCAATCTTCAGTATAAATTCTGCAGAAATTTAGTCTAACTGATGTAGCTTATTGCCAACCCTCCTGGGTTTCCCGGCCATTCAGGGATAGAAAGGCTAGGCTTAGATGAATATTACTGATACAATGGGTGACCACTTCTCAGCAAGAAAGCCTAGGTCTCCCTGGCTGGAGCCTGGGGGGGAGGCAGTCTGAGCTGGAAGGAGTTACGGGGTATGATGGACAATCAATGACAGACAAGGCTGGTTCACAGTGCAACAGAGCTACAGGAGATGTCAGGCAACAGTGTGTGCAAGCCCCCAGTGGGAGATGAGTCTACTTGATCCTAAAACCTTCCTGTCTCCTATGACTCTTTTGAGTAGGAACTGCCTTGACTGCCTTTTATCAACTATGCTTTCAGATGTTAATACTCCCTCCATCTCTCCTTCCTTTTTAATAACTTCCCTTCCTTACCCTCTTTCCATACCCACGTGCTGTTTTCAGATGTTATGATGTTAAAAGGACGTCAATTATTAAAAGTCCAAAGATCTTTGAATTCTTTGTAGGGAAGGTGTGACACAAATTTGAAAATAACTAACTAAAACTAACAAATTTTCCCCTATTGATTTATCTATTCATTTCAATAAATTTAAACTGAATTTAATATTGCAAAGTCTTCAGGGGTTCTTTCTGTAATTGCACAATCCTGGCTTAATTCTTACAGCAGAAATAAAAGTTAGCTCATTCTTCTCAAGTAAGTTATTAGTAAAAATTGCTTTCTAACATTAGTTGCTTAGTATGACTCAGATTATTTATTTGTAATGAATTCAAGTCACTGTGAAGCACATTAAGGTTTTTAAATAGCTGAATTACAATTACTGAATAGAGAAATTCTCCCATTTTACTGTGCTAGGCTTTAGGACATTGCTTCAAATTTACCATTTATTATGAGGTATGTGTTCATTATAACTTGCTGAATCAGGAAGAGTTTCAGCAAGCTGAAGATCCAGGAATACCTAAAGCAGATTATGCAGTGGGTGGAATTTGTCTTTGTCAAACACTCAGTACCCAGTGTTTCCATGCACCCTGTGACCTTTCACTACTGTGTACTCACCCCCCAGGGCTGCCTCAGGGCAGCACACCTGTTCTCCACTTTTCTAAAACTACATTTCCAGCCCCCTGTCAAAACCTACCTGCCTTTGTTATCTTAGCTTAGAGCCTTCTTCTATCAGGATGACAGTTTACTAATCTAACGAATGTCAATGTGGCAATGCCACTGATGCGTTATCTTATATTAGCTGAATGTCATGCTTAGAAGTTTGACTTAAACTGAAGAAATATATCCAAAATGATAGATTTTCAGTGCTGCAGTGGGCCTGAGGAAGAGATGGGGTCAGGGTGGAAGCAAACAGAGAGAGGACTGAAACCCTCAAATTACACCCCAATGCTGACAAGTTAGACGAGAAGCTATTTTTCTAGTTTATAAACATGGGTTTCTTTGTTCTGTAATGAAGAATGACATTAGCACTGCCACTGACACATCCAGCGGCCTCACCTAGCATTGTGAAAGCCCTTCGGTTAGTGTATTGCCACTTCATTTTAAAAGGATGCACAAGTCCCTGGTGTCTTTCCACAGCAATGCAGGTCATAGTGAGAATTTCTGTCACAATAGCAGTAGACTGGACAAATGGCACCATCTTGCAAATGAAGGCACCTGCAGCAAGGAAATAGGACAAGATATACATAAAAAAGAATAAAAGTTTTACCGGATTCTTTGTAGTTGTCACACGTAGTTAATTCTGAGCCTTTGTTTAAAAGTTTCTTGATTACAATTTCATTATAGACATAAAATAATCAAGAAAGGTTATATTGGCTTATGTCTTCTCCCACTAACTGAATTCCAAGTTCCTAAATACTATGTAATTATGTATAATAAGAAAATGAGAGGACAAATCAATATCAGCCATTGATAATAGGTAGAAAAAAATCAATGCGACCTTTGCATGGGGAGGAGAAAAGTCAGAGTGAACTGGTCTCCTGAAGTCTACACTACAGAGTAATCATTGATTCTTTCTTCCCTTTTGGTTCCCTGTCAAATCATAACAAAATAATAATTCTCATCAAAGACTTCCAAATGTTGTCTTTCATCTTTTATTTTCCTTTGACTCCCTATCCAAGACTTTATATACAGATTAAACCATTACACTTTCAAATGATTTTACTTTCCCTAATGCCAAGGTCTCAAATTTGTGGTTGCTGGGTAAGATTTGGCTTGCAAACATACTACATTTAGTTTACATAATAGTTTAAAAATATGTGAATACTTTGCCAGTAGTTTTAAATGTTTATGCTATCTGTCTGGCCCCTTAACCATTTGGATTTGTAAGCCCTGGCCTGGCATCTCTGCTCTTGAATCCATCCTGCTCACTGCTACTAAATTAATTATTCTCTACTATCAGAGAATCATAAACTCAGGAAATATAAAAAGCTGGAAGAGACCTCAGCAGTCATGTAGTCCAAGCTCACACCAAAAGCAGAAATTCTCTCTTCAACCTCTCTCACAAATTCTCTACCATGCTCTGCTTAAATACCTGCAGGGGAGGCCGCCTTGCTTGCATACTCCCCCCACAGTAGGCCCTTGCATGGCTTTTCCTTCTCCTTGGAATGCTGTTTCTTAAAATAACTCCCTCACGTCCCTCACTGAAGTCTTTGCTCAAATGTCACTGTGACGGTTAATTTTGTGTGTTAAGTTGGCTGGGCTAAAGGATAGTTAGGTAGCTGGTAGAACATCATTCCTGGGTGTGTCTGTGAGGGTGTTTCTAGAAGACATTAGAATTTGAATTGGTACAGTGATTGAGGGTGATCTCTTTTACCAATGTGGGTTGGCATCATCCAGTCTGTTGGGCCTGAATAGAACAAAAGGGCAAAGAAAGGGCGAATTTGCTCCCTGCTTAAGCTGGAACATCCATCTTCTCCTGCCCTTGAACGTCAGCACTCCTGGTTCTCAGGCCTTCGGGTGTGGACCAGCTTTCAGACAGCAGACTGTGGGACTTCTCTGCCTCCCAAATCATGTGAGTCAATCCTTGATAATAAATCTCCTCCTGTATATCTCTATATAGCCTATTTGTTCTGTTTCTCTGGAAACCCTGACTAATGCAGTCACCTTATCAATCTGGCTGACCTACTCTAACAGCCATATTTGCAATTGCAGCCTGTCCCATTCCCTTTCTGTCTTCTC